AGAGAGAGAGAGAGAGAGAGAGAGAGAGAGAGAGAGAGAGAGAGAGATGTGATTGATACAATTTGAATTCAATCGATCTGTTAGACACATCACGAAAACATCTCGGTTTATACTTTTCCTACCTTTTCTACAATAATAAAAAACAAAAAAAGAAATATAAGATATCTATTCATTATTAATTAATTTCCGATCGATCAATTATTTTTAGCACGAAATGAAAATATTTTTCCATTTAGCGTAGAAAGAGAAATGTGCTGTATTTGGAATGAAGTTAATCTATTAGACGCACGAGAGCACCCCGCTTTGCATTTTACCCACCTTCCTTATGACTGATCACAAGAAAAAGAAATATTAAACAGATCTATTAATTGTTATTAATCCTCGATCGATTGATTATTTTCATCACGCAACAAAGATATTTTCCCGATTAACGTAGAAAGAGAAATGTGTTTGATACAATTTGCAATCAAGTAAATCTGTCAGACACACGAAAGCACCTCGGCTTTATATCCTTCCCTGTCTCATGACTGATGATAAAAAAGAGGAAAAGAAATGTTCTTTCACTGAAAAATCAGAAACAAAACGTCGAACGTGAAACTAAAGAACCGCCCCAACTGACTGACACAGTAAGCATCGCGATACTTCTTATAAAATAAAAATAAAATAAAATACTCTCTTATAAAATAGATAACGATAATCATAGCACTGTTCTTTCTTTACAAGCAGATTGGCTCTTCAGAAACACATTTGAACCTGAAGCCCCGTCTTCGTCCGCTACGATTATACCTTTCCTCTAAATTCCTCTTCGGTTAGCCCCCTTAATTGATTTATGAAACGACTGCTTCTCCTTTTGCATTGCTCGTAACGCGTACAGAGAAACGACGACCAGCTGGCGGATCATCAGAATCGATATTGGTCAATTTCAGTCGCAGCACAGAGAACGTCGCCGCGTCTAAAGACACTGATACATGTTGGTATGGTGGACCATGTGATGGTGAGGCGGCGGCGGTAGCTGATGCTGAGGACGAGGGTGATACATCCTCTGGTCGTAGCAGGACTGGTACTGCATGGGCGGACTGACGCTCTGATCGCTGTAGCAGTCGTACTCCTGCCATTCCGGCACGAATCGCTCCTGAGGATACGGGAAGCCGGTGTGCGTCGGGCCGAGCCTCTTCTGCGCGGCCACCGCGCAGCTACCCGTCGACGACGTGATCATGTTGCCGTTCTCGCCGATGCTGACGGTGACGTTGCCGACGTTCACGGTGATCTCGCCGGTCTCCGCGTTGCCCAAGGTCTGCGAGAGCGCCCAGATGTAGTTGTGGGCGAAGCGCAGCGTCTCGATCTTCGTCAGCTTCGTGTCCTCCGGGAAGGTCGGCAAAGCCATTCTCAGGCGCTCCAGGGCGTCGTTCAGCGTGTGCATCCGGTGACGCTCGCGATCGTTCGCCTTTATCCGCCGGTTCCTCTTCAGCCTCAGCACCTGTTCGCCGAAAAAAAAGCACGCGGATCTCAAGGTTAATTACGTCATTATGTCTGTGTTGAGAGAAAAGAATATCTACATAGAGAGAGTTGTACAGTAAATATTACTATAGAATTTTGTAACCTGACAATAGATTGATATTCTGCAGTAATTGACTATTTTTATATTTTTTATATGTGCTATGTATATTTTAGGAACTGAAATGCGATATGAAAAAATTTGCTATGTTTTTCAGCTAAATTTACTGTTCTTCAGCAGGATAAACCTTATTGAGAATCTATTCCTGTGTTACTAAAAACATGATAAAATTGAAAAGAATTTACATGAAAAAGGAAACTATAATATCCTCTCCGTACACAAAGATAATTTTATAGTAAAAATTACTATAAAGTTTTGTAACCGAGGAATAGATCGGCATTATCCAATAATTCACTATCCTTTCATTTCATGTGTGTTATTTATATTGTAGGAACTAAAATATATTATTAAAATAACTTTTAATTACTATTTTTTTAATGAAAAAATAAACTATTATTAAAATTACTTTTTAAACAAAACCTATATTCTATATTCTAACCTATATTCTAAGCAGAAGCTATATTTCCAACAAATGCTATGTTCCTTAGAAAAATAAACTTTACTGACGGTCTGTTCCTGAACTACTAAAAACTGAAGAGAATTTATATGAAGAAGAATTATAATATTTTTTCTATGTGTATGCATTTGTGTTCAAAGTGTGGAATTTATGTAAAATGATATAGTTGTCGTTGAAAATGTTTGTTCATCCGAACGAGATTTTTGAAAGGTCTGTTTCGGAAGATGACAATCTCGATGACGTTGACATACCTGAGTGGGACTTTTGCAGCGAGAGTTGCGTGTCTTCTTGCGCTTCTCTTCTTTGACCGGGGCGAAGAGGGTGTCGGTCGACACTTCGTGCTTCGGTGACTCAAAACTAACGTCGAAACCGGAATCGGAGGAGCTTGAGAGCTCGTCGAAGCCACCCTCACTGCAGAACGAATACTCCGACGACATCGCTCTGTCTAGCTGTAACGCGGAGAGGAATCGATCATTTTTACACTTTGACTTTGTCTAAATTAAGTCTAAAAACAAGATATTTAACACACAAGAAGAAATAGTATTTTTCCCGCTTGTGACGCACTCTCCGTAAGCGAAACTCATATCTCCCTTATTATTACAAATAAATTCCCATGTAACAAACACTTTGAACTCATAAACTCGGGTCATCGAGTTCATCGTGTATCTGCGTGTACCTTTCGACAAGCCGAGAGAAAGGCGAAGTAATCCCAGACGCGGGACGAGGTAATTCCAAAGTGACACGCAACACAGAACAGAAACTGCACTCTCGTGAGGTAAGGACTAGCGTTATGCGTTTATTGGAAGCTCGTATCACAGGGCGCGACAGATCGACGGCCACGCGAGAAAATAAGAATCGACGAGCGGACTAGGCGGGGTACAATTTGGTACTGTGCATGTGGCAAGGGGCTCTTAGAACATATATACCGTCCCGGGGGTATTTCGCCCCCTCCACGAGCAGCAGGGCCACCGAGGCTCTATGGGGCACCGGGAGAAAGAGAGAGAGAAAGAGAGAGAAAGAGGGAGAGTTCACCCCATAATCACCATAGAGGGGTACTCTCGACGCTCTCCCCGCTCCTCGTGTATGCATTAGACGCGTGCCACGACGATGTAGCCGCCTTGTTAGAAGATTAGAGGTTTTTAGGGCGATTACACCGCTTTGAGATTATTGCGAATGAGCGGGCCCTGAATTTACAATCGTGCGTTTTTATAATCGATCGCTGCTTGGAAATTGGAGCAATCGATGTTATAATAATGTCTAAGCGTTCAAGAGCAAAACCATTAAATTGCAAATGTCTCATGTAAGAATATAATTTTTATTTAAAATAGATATAACTCACGAAATTTTGCCTCGGCTATCAGATATCTGAAGACGTGATCTGTTCTTTTGTTTTACCAAACATACTAAGTAAAGAATACATTAAGAAGTGAGAGAAGTTAACGTTATATTTTATTACAAATAAGGAACACATCAGAAGAAAATCTTGAGGCTCTCTCTTTTGTAGGTGTTTCTTTTTATTATTAAATACTCGAAGATGGATTTTCTATTTTTGATCAGAAATTGCGTCGAAGATGTGTTTATACTAAATTAAAATTTGATTGCACTATAATGTTAATTTATACCATTAATGGTGTGGAAGAAATTTTTATTTATATTATAATGTTTATAGTGAGCCTGTCGAAGTTAGTATTCGTCCGTCTGTCTGTACCGTCTATCTGCAAAGTACGACGGGATGGCTAGAAACAGGCGTATATGTGGTTAGCCTGAGAAATAACTCCACGAGAAAGTGTAGCTGTTAGTTAGTTTCGCTTTTTTATTAAATATAATCATCCAGCATCTCAAAGATTACTTTATACTACCATTAACAAATAAAAAGTTCGTTTTCTTGCCAAAAAAGAAGAAATATAATTTTTATTAAAACAGAAACGTATATTTAATTTCTCTTTAATTTTATGTCTTATTGCTTTTGCGACAGAGATGACGCATTTGTCGTAAAATATAAGAGATTGTTATTGTTATAAAATATATATAAAAGAAGTTCTAGTTACTTACGATTCACAATGTCCCTTCCTGAAGGTTCGCGGTCTCGCGGGCACCTGACGTTTGCGTACGACCTATACTGTTAAAAATAAGTGGCAGATAATCTAATAAAACCAACGACGACCATATGTCGCATTCGCTAATCAGCAGATAATGCGCGGGACATTGCTATAGAAACCAAGCGCGTTAACAAAACACTCGGGGAAGAGTATTAACGACTTCAACGGCGAAACGTTACAACAATCGCTTCTTTATTATACGACCAAAAATCGTTGCCATTAGACGTTCGCTTGCTTCTTCTGAAACTTGAGAAGAACCCCAGTAAAAGGAGCTTTATGGAACGCGTTTTTTAATATTCACTCTGAGATTAGGAACGAAATCAGTTAGGAACACAATGTGATAAGGAGAGGCACCGGAACGATCGGTGCTGTGCTTATTATAGTCGAGGCGTTATCAATCGAACGAATATTATTGTGCCGCAATGCAATAGAGAAGTCGAGGTGCGCGCCAGGGCGCGCGAGAGATTATCAAAGTGTATCTTGTACACTTAATAGCGTGACACGCAATATCAGTTTATGTAGGGATCAATGCAGATAGCGACGGCAATCAACATCGCTTCGTGCGTCCGTAATAACGTTCATCAATCACGGTATCGCCGTTCGCTCCACAGATCGCTAAAACGCGACTCATCGCGTTTTTAACGTCAGGCCCGCGCGTATCGCTGACAGAAAACTCAAAATGGCACGACGACGGAAACGAGAAGGGGCAAGGATTGGTAAAGTTGCCTTCGAAAAGTAGGGGGAACCGGGATGAGATGCTAGACCTTTCAGAATCTCAAAGTTGCAATTTTTCAGACAACTAATTGCCGTGATTGACTCTGTACAGATATGACACAGAGACAACCTTTCCTTATACAGAGAAGGAGACACATTCTTGTTTGGAAAATATCTTCACTTCTGACATGTTAACTTTCAAATGATATTAAGTGGCGTTAAACGAAGGTAAGTTACTTCTTGAGTAGAAGTTGAACCTTGTTTAGTCACGAGATAATAAATTCGTATTTAATATTACTACTCGCCAGTAATGTAACGCTCACTTCTGTTAGTGGTTAAATAAATAAATTAGCTAATGATTGAATAAATCAAATGATACATGAGATCAGAAACCATAACTAGTTGCTATCCACAATAATATAACGCTCAATTTTGCTTTTTTAAGATTTTTCTGAAATTAAAGTAATTTCGATTTTGATTCGCTACCAAATTTTAAAAAATGTCGGTGATGATCTAGTAGTTAGATTGTTTCCGAAGACAGAACACCATGTACTGTATTCTATTTTATATACTTGTATAATGCTTAGACACAAATCGTGTCTAGGCCAAATTCGATTCTATTTCAATTTGAATGAATAGTCAACTAGTGACGAATTAGTAACGAATTAGAAAATTTAATCTAGCCTATATTAGCTGGCTACTAGCTTTTCATTCAGGTCGACTAGTTACGTTTCTACTCGGGTTGCAAGAATATATTTTATATGATCCAACGCGAAGAGAAATCTATGTTCTTATTATTAAAATGGGTAAATATTGACAAAAACGGATATATGCTTGTTGTACGGAGGGAACATGATTTCAAATAATTCTTGTCTATTTACACAGGGCAAGGAAAAAAGAAGAAAAATAGAGAGTAGGACGACAAAAATTCGAGATATCCCAAGATACGCTTCGTCTGAATGTTATCTGTCGTCGGGATTGTGTTGACATTGACGATTTTGCAATCCGTGATTTGATATACAGGACTTTGGCAGAGAACCTTTCTATGCAGGGTGTCTCGGGTTCCCTGTGTTCACACCTGTTAGGAAGGATAACGGAATGATAAAGATAGATTCATCAACAATCAGAATTTGCTATCGTTGCATTTGTCAATATTGAAATTTCTATCTCTTAGAATCTCTCTCCCTATATATTTTTTTATATATACATACATATACATACATGTATAGAATATATACATACTTCTTAGAGAGAATATTACTTTATTAAAATTATCTTTTTAGTAATGAAAAAGAACAAATAAAATATCAAGGTTTTTTGGCAAGGTGCACGATAACAAGCCAGTAAGAACTAATGCAAGCTTTAATTTGCGAAGCCTACTCAATTATTGAAGTGAAATAAAAAATAGAGCATCAAATTCGTGTTGATATTTTCACTTGTCTTCTTATACTTGACATACCTTTCTAGCAATATTGTCGCAAGACAACTGCCTTGAAACCTTAAAGTCGCCTTTTAGGCACATTAATGAGTCGCCGCGGCACAGACGCGCGTCAGTGCGATTGCTTTCGTCGCGCGTCGTCGCTTTTTGCGCACTGAATTTCTCTTACCGTAAACGAAAGATGAAACGCTTAATGCGGCGGGTATTACGGCATCGTTCGATCGATTTGCATAATTGTAACGCTCCTAAGCAGCAATTTTCCGCGCGCGTGTGTTTACGAGCGTGTTGCGCCTCATAGAGGCGCGTCGACCGACTTGGCACAGATCTTCGATATCTCACGCCATTATGCCGCGTCACATTCTTCAGGATGCACCGCAACGGTTGTGCGTCCCGTCGTTATTTGCATCCTCGTGTGCGTATCCTGCTATCGGTTATTTTTCCTACGTTTTTTCCTCCGTTTTCTCCTCCTCCTTAACGATCCCGACTCCGAAAAAGGCGACTCGCTCTAATTGGATAATTTATCGGCGAAAGGCAATCAATGGAAAATTGCCCGCTGACTGGTTCCGCAGATGCCCGTGAATTATTTCTGTGAGCTGGGAGAAAATTGTGCTCGTGAAATTACTTCTGCCTTTTAATTCCTTTTAGATTTTCAAATATCTTTGAAAGGAATTCGCGCGATTTTATTATAAGATGTTTTGTTTTAATTATCTTTTAACACAGAGAAAATATCGCAATAAAAATTACGTTAAAATTATATTTCTTTTTACAATTAAAGTTCAATTATAAAAATAGGTGTTGAATGGAGTAAGGCTAAAAGTAGGATTAAGATTTTGATACAAATATCTTCCTTCTTCTTATACGCCGATTATTACCATTTTTTTTGTATCTATTTCTGCTGTACCATTGTTTTTCTATCCATTCTGATTATTGCGCGGGCAGGATTTAATAAGGCACAATAAAGCAGATTCTGAGTCTGAAGATAATTCATTCGCAGTGAAAGGGGCGCGCTGGATGTAAGAGTCTAACTTTGTCGCGACGGGATGAATAACGTCGCGAGGAAAAACGCTTTATGTAACTTTTCTGCGTGCTGTAAAACGAAGGCAAGTGAGATTTAACCGCGGCGACTGCCCCGCGGTCTCGAATAATGCCGCTTTCTCTCGGCGAGGCTACGTCATTATATTCGGCATTATGCGCCTTCGCACTCCCATGGGAACCATAACTGCGCGAAGACGAGGAATTAAGACGAAAAATTGTATTCTTGATATTCGCCGGTGTGCTGTATTTCGCTAACGGGAACGATTTCCTGCGTTTGTCGCGTCTCATTCTCGAAAGAAATGATAATTCGTCACGCAATTACAGTTTGTTAATTTCTATTTCTCTTTCTTTTTGAAGTGCGAACACATTGCGATTTGCTGTCACGCTTTCTTACGGTAGTCGTTATTACTTAGCGCGAAGTTACCGCGTCGTTGCTAACTTGTCGTGATTTAACCGGAACGGAGTAATGAAGAGAAGATGTAGATAGGGGCTCTTTGTTAGTTTAACTAACTTTGTTTCATGGATACTTCGAGCTATTAATTTCACGTGGAAAAATATCATTCTATTGACAAGAAAAACAATTACTCAGTT